AGTCCTAACCCAACTCTAAAACAACAGACCTAGTTGCCCCTCAGCTAAAAAATAGACCAGATAGATATTTCCAATGATACCGGGAGCCTTCCCATACGTTGGAAGCCTTCTTGCACGTCAACATCTATTTCAGGAAAATTGGGATCAGGTCAGTGTGCACCTGACGGGGCTCCACATTTAGCTGCTGATATGAAATAAGGAGCCTGGGCCAGGGAGCTGCTGCCGCAGCCTCCCGAAGCGACCGGAGAGCCCGTGTTGTTGCAGTGACACCTCCGGCAGCACCGCGATGCCCTCTTGCCTCCCATGAGAGCAGCACTCCCTGTTTTTAACCCCCTTCCTACAAGATGCAGGGCTTGCTGGGCTGGCCTTGCACTGCCGCTGCCCAGCTGTTGGGTCTCTGCTTTACGTTCCTCTCCTGTCCCAGCCAATTCGTTCGTACCCAGCTCGGGGAAGGTCTTCTGCTCCTGAACCCTCTGCGCTGTGGGTGCATGGCCTGAGCTGGCCAGGGCTGTGCTGAGATTGTATCCGTAGGGATAACTGCTGCGCGCGCTGTGACACACCGGCTGACACCGCTGCCCTGCGGCCGTATGGCCACACGCGGGGTCCCCGGCGCAGACCAAGCCGGAGCGCTGCCTTTTGGGAAGCTTTTCCATCAGCTGCCGCAGCAGCAGCCCACGGTCTGGGCTGGACTTGCTCCTCAGGAGGGAAAATCCCTGCAGCACATCCACCCCTCAAGGGCTGCGGATCCCTGATCCGCACCCCTTGCAGCCGGCTCTGCATCCCATCCCTTCAGCAGCTGCCTCCCAGAAAAACGTGTCCTTATCTCTAAGTCTGCAATTTATGCTCAGTCTCCTCATTTTCTTTCATATAATCATCAGACATTTCTGCGTTTCGCCGTGATAAATAACAGACTGTTGAATCTCTAGAGCTGCCAAGAAACGCATCTCAGCAGAGCACAAATAGAGCTGCTATTTTTTTTATTCCTTCCTTTAGTTTAACATTTATTCCTGCTATTGTTGTCCTTAGAAGGATAAATAGGACTGCATCTTGCTAGCTAGTTGTTCCGAATACATTAGCTAGAAGAATAAATGGCAAGATGTACCAAACACTATGAAGACACAGCCCTGCCCTCCCTGTAAAGGTGTCTGTGATCGCACTCAAGGCATTTTTTTCTATTTCTACTTTCTAAATGTCATGGGTTTCGCGTTCCCCTCCTCTCCAAGAAGGTGGTGCAGGATGTGCATTGTGCAGAAGGACGAGATGTGCATCCAGCACCACCTGCTTTGCCCTGGTCACCCCCGGGAAGCGCCCTCAGCGACGGCGAGCGATCGCTCCGAGGCAGCGATACCCTCATGAACCAAACCAAGTTGCTCAAGTGATCTCTGCTTTTGGCTGCAGACGGAGCTTGTGCTCCGTTTTCAGGCAGCAGGACAGACTGAGCAGCCTGGTTCTGCATTTCCTCCGTGCCAGAGACCCCCCTTTGCCAGCCTGCAGCCGCCATCCTGGTAAATCCTGTGCCACACAACGTAGCTGTAAAATTCCTAGTGCTCCAGGGGGGACATGCAGTAAGCACTTTTCCCTTTGCAAGCACATTTGCTGTCTCAAGTTGGATTTATAGCCACCCACCCTTACAGTTATTTCCATTAAAAAAAAAAAGGATAGAAGCATAATCTTACATGGAGGGGAGCCTAGAAGCTCTCTGTATGCATGCTGATGATAAAGAAAAAAAAGGTGAAGGTGTAGACAAGTGTAAGTATCTCCTATACTTCATGCAGGAAAAAAAAAAAAAAAAAAACAGATGCAAGCTAAACAGAAACTCAGTTTTGCTTCTTTCAGTTTCTCTGTCTTCAGACACATTGATCGAACTTGGAAGGAGATGTCATCCAGACTGCCTTGACGAGCTCACTGGAATCCCTGCGGGAAGGAAACGCTACTGACTGGATACTCCAGGTATACCTGGTGGCCACTTGCTTTCCAGATGCCAATTGCTTCTTCTCTTACAATTTAAACTGGATCAAACTGCCAGCTTTGGAAATAAAATCAGGTTAAGCTCACAGGGCTAACGATACTTTGTGCTGCCAGAAGAAAAAGATTTCAATTTTACTCTTGTTTAGCTTTTGGAAGCACTAGTGGAGCCCTATGTCTGCAGCTCTGTGATTCAGACTTTAGAGCTTTCTGAGGCAGCATGCGGTTATTAACAAAAAACCTGAATGTGTCAGTGCAAGGTCTGCATGAGTCAGTGTGCAGGCTGCCTTGAGCTGCGTTCATCCACACGGGACAGGCAGTCTGAGAGGGAAAGCGGAGCCCTGCGGAAGACCTGGATTGGAGTTTTTCCCGGGAACCCATGAGATTTCCCTCCAGAATTTTGTTAGCACCTAGAGGAGGATTTTCCTCTCTCCTGTCAGAGATCAGTTCACACTGAGCGTCCCCTGTCCTGTCTCCAAGAGTCGCGTTCAGTGACTCCCATTCCAGGGCACTGAGCTGGAGGGGGCACAGGGCGTCTGCCGATGTCGTCCGGAGCTTCCAGCTGCCGCCTGGGCAGGGACACGACCCTTCGTGAAGGGGATGGACAGTCCAAGCAACCTCCTCCCTGGAGCAACAGCCCCTCTGGGAGAAGGCATCGGGCTGCTCCTTAGGAAAAGCACCAGCCCACCAGCAGAGCTGCTAAAAACATGCGTAGAGAAGAAGGGTAAGGTGGTTTCTGGGGAATAAGGGTGGTCAGGAGGAAACCTGAGGGTGGCACAGGATGCACAAACTCAGGAGAGGTGAGTGCAGGCCATGAAGTGTTTGCATTTAAATCAGGGGAAAATTGCTGCCTGCAGGAAAGGGGAAGGGAAGGAGGAAAACCACGTATGTTGCTCCTGTTCTCTTGGAAGAAGTCAGCAAGAGGCTTTGCTGAGATAGAAGTGCAGGCAGAAGGAGGGGAGTGATTGAGAAATAAGTTTAGGTGGTAAAAGAGTGGCAAGAATCATGGGTGGAGATTCAGTTAAAAGGGGGAAAAATGGGAAAAATGAAGATTTTTCAGCTCAAAAGATAATGCAGCCAAACAAAAGAGGAAGAAGCTGATGGTGACAGTCAATGCCCAAGGAGCTCAGTGAGCTGCAGAAGCTGCAGGTCAAGCTGTGCCGCTTGGGGAATGCTGCGGTGAGGAGCACCACCAAACACTGATAAAACACGTTTCTCGCTGCTGGGCTTTTAGGCTCTTTTTCCTTCATTTCTCCCAGTTGTTCTGAGCTCAGCTCCTTTTCTCATACTTGCAAGTGTTTATCTCTTCCAAATACTTGCAGACAGCTACCTCCCCTCACTTCATTTACTGTGGAACTTCAACTGGAGAAAGTGAAATGACAAAAATCCAAACAAACAAAAAGGGGATAAAACAACACAGGCATTTTGCTCTGCTTTGCAGGAAAGCACCACAATCTCACTAGTTCTGCCACTGTTTGGTATTTAAATTGTACCCACTTTCCATCATAGCATTTCCATAGGGTTGCAGGCCCATATGTGCTCTGAGCACGTGTGAGCTGGTGCGCTTGGAGCATCGGGAGAAATCAGCAATTTTGGAAAAGCAGAGCTGAAGTTTTGGTCCCACACCGAGCTGGGCATCCATATTCAAAAGCAGGAGCTGTGTCCCCGTCACGGAGACTGCGGTGCCGGGATGGGGATTGTGCTTGGGGAAGCAGCAACCAACCCCTGGGAAACTTAAAGCCTTGGCCTCCCATTGCCCGACTGGGGTGAGATTTATCAAGCTGCTCCACCAACCCCAAGAACAAGCTGATGTACAACCGCAGAACCCGTTTCCTTTGGAAATCAGCCTGGAAAACCACTGGAGAAATGGCATCACGGCCCATTACTTGAGGATGGATAAACTGGCTGTTTCAAGGTCTCTATCTCAGATCAGAGCGAGAAAACACCTAGCTGGTTCCCTTTTCACAATTAAAACTCCTGAGTGTGAGACTCGTGCTTAAGGTGCCCTGTTCTGTTGATCTGTAAAGCCACTTTAGAGGTTAAAACTAATTATATGAGATTTTAATCAACTCTGATTTGTTGTGGCTACTGTTTTCAGCTAGAGGAAGCAAGTTAACTATCTCTTGCCCTTTTTCCTGTTTATATTTTAACAGGATTCTGCGAGAAAAATATGGCATCTTAATTCAGGGAGAATTAGTCATTTGCTTTATGTGGAAATCTTCAGCATGTAGCAATCTCACCCAGATTTAGCCAAGCAGGTAAGCACATGCCGAAGTCTACAATTAAAATCCTTAATTAAATCCTTAAATTAAGCACATACTTAAATGCTTTGCTAAAGAGGGATATAATCTCTAACATGCTTAAGATAAAGTGTGTGTTTAAGTGCTTTACTGAACCAGTGCCTTCGCTACAATGCAAAATATGTTTTAATTGCGAAGCAAAAGTGCAAGAAGGGGAATCCTGCAAAAAAAAGCAACTTCGCCGGGGAGGCCTGGGGGGATTGATCGACATGAGCCACGCGCAGCCCGTTTGCTCCAGCAGTTTCACATGTGTGAAGTTGTGCTGCACGTGGCGCCGAGGGCCTGCGACTCACGGTGGGCAGAGCACGGCTCCGTGTCCTGGCCTCGTGTCCCGGCCCCGTGTCCCAGCCCAGCTCGTCTCCAGAGGCTCCTTGTCCTCTGTGGCTTCTGGAAAAAGGCTTCCGAAAAGGGAGCGCGCCCTGGACGCGCTGAAAAAGGGGATTTGGGACAAGCTGTGAGAAACGAGGAATCCCGGAGGCCCTTGTGCGGGATGTCGGTCCCTCCGAGTCCTGCCTCGTGCATCTCGTCCGCCAGACGTGTCGGCCTCATCCCACTGCAAATCCAGCGCTAAGGGAAGAACGAAACGATTATTTTTGAGCCGTTGTCTCCCACGGGCTCCACAGCTGCTCCCGAAAGCCCAGCTGGGAGCAGGAGTGTGGGGGAAAGGGGACAGGAGGAACCTTCCCCTCTGCTTGCTGAGAGCAACGGTTCGTGCAAAGAAACAATGTCTAATACTCAATAAAGGGCAGTTTGAATCGCTTCTTCATATATGATCTTAAAATGAGATTTTTAATTTTTTTTATTTATTCCATAAACAATATAACAAAACTCAGCAAGTTAACAATATGACGTTTTCACCATACAGAGTCAGTCACAAATATTGAAAACCTTTGCAACAAGAACAACAAAACCAAAAATATTACAAGAATAATTTACAAGAGGATCTATAAAACAGCAAAGCGCTCACAAATTTTCCAGTTTCCTTTACACAATATCACTACACTCTTTTTTTTTTTTCACAACATTTCTTTTTATTACAAAATTCCCAACAAAAGTTTAATTTTTTTCTTTGTATTTTGGTTTTTAAAACCAGAAACTTTTAAGTATACATCCTTTTATTAACACCCGAAGGTGCAAAAAAAGGGAAACCTCACACATACAAACACTTCACAGCACTTTTCTAAGAAAAATATACACTTACAAAATATTTTACAAATTGGCACACTTAAAAATATACAAGATTTTGTAGGCGTCTTAGAGTGATCCTTAAGAATTATACTTCAATTGACTCTACAGAATATTTATAAAGCTTATTCTAAAAGAAAAAAGGCAAATAATTTCCAAACATGTTAAAATTGCAGTGTAAAATGTTAAACAGAACTGGATATGTTACATTCATAAAAAGGGCCATTTTGTATTCCTTAAATGCTCGAGGGGGGATTAAAGTTTCCTTTAGCACCATAAACCAGTAGCAACTTAGTAAGGAGGTGCCTCTGGAAGTTAACTTAAGGAGCGGTACATTCAAATCTCTGTAGGCAGCAGTCGAGAGGGCCGCAGCCGGCGCTGCAGGCAACGAAACAGAGCATCTCCTTAGCTTCCTACCCTGCTTCCCACTGGGAGTAAAGGACAAAAGGAGTTTACTGGTATCTCGCTTGGGTTTTGTTTCAGTTCGGTTTATTTTAAAGTCTTCCCTTTGTGCTTTTGAAAAGTGTTTTTGTGTTTTGTTTTTTTTTCCCTATCTACCAAAGGGCAGCGGTGCTTGGTGATCGCAGTGGTGTTTCCTGCCTCCTCCGCCGCGCGGCGGCCGGGGCACCCGCCTCGCTCTACGTCCAGGTTCCCTTACATGGCTGTTACTCCACTGTCAGTAGTGTCACTTGTTTACCTGAGAAACGGATTTGAAAAGCCTTGCTTCTACCACAGACATCGCACTTTGCTTTTTTACTATTATTCGTGATTTCTTTTTTTTTTTGCATTATTTTGCACGCTGAGGAGCTAAAGAGGCACGTTCTCAAAGAGATGTCAGCGGCTCGAGCCGCGCAGCCTCGCGGGAGCTGCACAAACGCAGTCCAGTGCACCGAGGTGACAAGTTAGGAGCAAGGACACGAGTCCTTGCACTCGGTCCTCTTCTCCTGACCCTCACTCCCACGGAGTTTTTTGCTTTTCCTCCCTTGATTCAGGCGCTCCAGGAAAGCACTTGAGCGGGCAAGAGCCTCAGGGTCCTGGCGCGCTGCCCAAGTGCTTTGCTAGAATTGGGACCTCAGAGAAAGAAGAAGGTGGCCCAGACGGCGTAAGATCGAAATGCTTCCAACATGTTTCTTTTGGTTCTTGGTTGATTGGAGCTGTAACGCCAAAAATCAACAGTAATCGCGATAAAAATAAACAAAAAAAGAAAAAGCCGCGCAGCACTTGTCTCACAAAGCGCCGGCTGCGGCTGCTCCGCGCAGAGCTCGGCTCGCCCGGACAGCGAAGCCCCTGTTGAGGGAAAGCCGCCCCGGAGCCCTGCCGGCTTCCCCGCACCAAGACCTGGCCTGAGTCCGGTCTCCAATTCATCACTCGTGACCTGTCTTCCAAAAATTCCTCGTGCTTTAAAAATCATAAAAAGCCAAAATGTAAACCAGATTAAGACTCGTTTTTAGGTTTTGCTCAGATTCCCCATTTCTGGTGTTTCCCTCTTTGCAAAATCTCTATATGCAAGTGCCGGCGGCTCGGCCGGCCTGCTGCTTTAGCTGATCCCTGTAGCTCCCCGGAACAGAAACACATGGCACGGGGACAGGAATACAAGGCAATTCCTACAGGCTCTTCCGCACAGAGAGCTGGGAAACACCTCTGCAGTGGGAGTTGAACACGATAAAGCAGAAGGGAGATTTTTGCAGAATAAACACCTTTTTGCAGCTTCAATTCCTCTCCCCACATAGCCAGAACCCAACTAAAGGAGAGCGGAGGGTGGAGAAGATGACGCGTCTGGAGATGGGAAAGGGCTGCAGGAGCCTGGGACCATCTCAGGGCACAAATGGAGGCCGAAGGCGGCCAAGGAAGGACAGGGCCCTACTGACCAGGCCCTGCCTGCACTAAGAGCCATGAAAGACTGCAAGTCAACCAAATACCTGGGGAAAAAACACGTCTACACGGCCAAGAATGAGGCAAAGGCGGGAAGCGATGAAATTCTTGAGGTAGTGATAGACAAGTGACCATAAAATTAAAAGGGAGCGGGACAAAAGTTTGGCTCAAGGCAGTTTCAGCAATTACTGTTTTGATAGCCAGGTTTTGGAGCAAATTGGCGGAAGGATGACATTTTTGGGCACAGAGGAGGGCCAGTGGGATCTGGGCTCTTGCAAACCATGATCAGGGTTTCGGGGGAGGCAGCGGGATGACAGCCGAAGACGGCAGAGAACTGGGAGCAGCAGCAGGGCTGAAGGAGAGCTCACCAAGGCAGCTGGTATTTGTGATTAACACCACCCTGAAACAGCTGGCAGCTGAGTATTCATGGGTTTTTCCACGTGTAATAAAGCAGTCGATATGTTTTATGCCTTATATTCATGCCCTATTGCACATTTCTCAAACGCAGTACATATTGCTAGCGGTTGGAGCGCCACGCACTTCGTCACGCACCGCGGGGCCGCCACGGTGAGCGCAGGGGACGCGGCTCCCATGACGCCTCGGGGTCAAGAAGCAGCCAGGGCCTCGGCAGGCCCCACGTCGACGGGCGCGTGAGCGTGTGAGGAGAGCGCGCGGGGCCGCCCGCCGCAGCGCCGGCGATGGCGGGAGGCGCGAGGCCTGCGCTGCTGCCGGGCTCTGCCCCAAGGCCCGAGGACCTGCGAGAGCTGGAAACACCCATTCCAAGTCACCGCGCTGCAACTCCAAGCTTTCAACTAGAAACCACCTGCTTTTTTGTAAAATTAACGAAAAAGCAAGTGTCTTAACCGCTTCGGAGGTTGTCCTAACACCTCCTGCTCGCACACAAACCAAGCTGGGCTCCGTCCTCTGTCAAAAACCGCCTCTGGGCTCCCGACTATGGTGAGAAAGTGTTCGACTGGACTGGTATTAAGGCTCTCCTTCCTCACCATTCCCTATGGCGTAAGCGCGCACCAGACTAAAACCCTTGGCTCCCAACAGCTCCCTGCCAGCAGGTCTCTTGCATATCCCGGTTTCATAATAAATCAGCAGCAAAATGCACAGGCTCTCCGTTGCGCAAGGAAAAACCATGATTTTCTCTGTTTCTGTGATTTCCTCGGCGGGCGAGGGTGCGGCGAGGAGGGTTACAAATAAGGCCTTTTGATAATAGTTAGCATTCAATCCTTAAATAAAGTCCAGGTACGATCCGGCCCTGATTGGTGAGATCACAAATAGTTCCTTTTTTTTTTTTCTTATAATACGGACTGAATTAAAGTAAAGGTTCAAAGTTGTACTCAAAACAAATGATTTTGCTCTCAAAATTTCAAACTATATTGGCATCGCAAGGTTAGACATTTAGGAAACACCAAAGCTATGACATGAGAGCGCTTTTGACAGGCTCTGCATCAAAAATATTTAAGAAACGACTTCAAAGAAAAGTAAATAGCAATAAATGTATGAAACATCAGCTTCGTTTTTTTTTATAACTATTTTAGAATTTATCCCAGGTTATTATAAAATATATAAAACTGAGATACAAAGAATTAGCAATGTAACTTTGCATTTCAAATGATCTTCAGCTACAGGTTTTGCTTTAAGAAAACAGACACTCAAAAAGCAGCTGTTTTGTAGTCTCTAGATGCAGACACTTGAGTTCCTGTCCAACTTACCTTGAGGGATTTTCTGAATTCCTCCAACATTTCCACTCTCTCCTATAACGAAACTCAAAATTTCACCGTTATGTTTTTCTGCTCATGATTTTAAAGAGAGGACATTACAATTTCCCAGTTTCAAAGTTCCTTTTTTTTTCCTATTTTTTCCTGTTTTGTTTTTCCTTTTTTTTTCCTTTTTTTTTTTCTTTTTCCTTTATGAGCTTAAACCACAGGGTGAATCCATGAAATGAGGTAAGTAAATTTGGCACACTTTTAGTCATGTCCATAAAACTTTTGGTAAGTTGTCGAAGTGAGCAATATCGTTTTCATTGTGAGTTACAGGTGCTTTCAAAAGGGGTGGTTAGTACAGAATAACTGGAATGTTGATAGTAAAATCAAAAGGCATAGCTGCAGAAAACACTCACAACCCAATGTCGATAGAGAAGTAAAAATATATACAATACAGTCACTTGTTCATAGTTTGGCACAATTTTTTTTGTTGTTGCTGTGGGTAATAGTGCATAAACTACTGTACAACAGTATGATTTTTTTTCAACAGTCTTTCACAGAGAATACCAGATTAGGTTCGCTTTCAAAGAATATAACCCCACAATTTCAAACTCTTCATCTTAGCACTTACATGTCAACATACCACAAGGCATATTTTGAAAGGAACAAACGGACGGACGGAAAAAGCGAAAAAAAAAAAAAAAAAAAAGAAAAAAAAGAAAAAAAAGAAAAAAAAGGAGAGAAAGAAACATCAAACGTCTTTCTAGAAAAGGGAGTCTCTTCTTCAAATACAGGTAAAACCAAAAATGTTGTTTCTGCTTTAAGAAGAATGGAGTCTGATTCCCTGCAGAAAAACCAAACATTTTATGCCATCTTAGTTAGCTCATGTGGAGTCACCACGACAGGATCATACGCTCTAAGCTCTGCTAAGAGCAGATGCAGCTTTTATGATGCAGGTTAGGATACAAACAGCAGAGGGGGCCCGAAAGCGCTCAAAATTGCAGCTTGAAGCTCAACTATGAATGAGTTTCTCATTTTGCAAACTAAAGAGCCTTTAGTTTAGGTATCTTGGCTTTTGGATGCATAACCTCTTTTTTGTGTTTTATTTTTTACAAAATGTTCAAAAAAAAGTCTTTCCTTTGCAAAACCATTAAAAAGAGCGTGTAATTGTTTTTTTTTCCCCAATAAATAAGTAATTAAAAACTGAAGAAGCCAAACAGCAGAAAAGAGTAGCCTTGTTAGTTTTTTTAACCCCAGCCAAGCCAGAAAATTGGTCATTCTTTTAGGTAGCTTGCAAGTAATAAGTATATTCATGCATTAAAAACCAAAACCAAAACCAAAACCAAAATCAAAACTGTAAAAGGGGAATGTCTTTTTTTTTCATGCAACTTTTGCTTTCAGGAAGGAAAAAATGAGGAACAGCGGGCTTAGCAGGTAGTAGGAAAGTTAAAGGGGCATTCCAGCCAGTTTGGTGCAGCATTACCTCAGTTTTTCAAAAGAAGCTGTCACAGATGGGTCCTTATGGGTCTGTTCACGGTCTGTTCGCTTTATTTTACAGTTCTCATCCCTCAGTGATTTAGAACTTGATTTATGACGGTACAGTTTTTTATGGGTAGGTCCGTTATTGCCTAAAGTGCTCAGGTTACTATAGTTTTTATCAAAAAAGGGAGAGTGAATGTCTGTGCTGTACCCAGGCGAGCAGTTGGGGCGGCCGGGGTCACACGTTGTGGCTTTGCCGTTTTTGCTGGAGCCCTTGTTTGACTTGTGACTCTTGGCCGTCGCTGGAGAGCCGCTGCTGGCCTTTTTCTTCGATTCTTGTGACGTCCCTGCCAAAATTTTTAGCGTTTTCAATTTCAGGCTGTTTGATTCAGGTGACCGGAATATATCTGGCACGCTGTTATGGCCAACGGGCCCCCACAGGGGTTCGATGGAGGCCATCATAAACCTCTGAACGTCTGCCATTCCTGATGCAATGTTGGAGAGTATGTTGGAGGGCTCTTCAAACTCCCTCTGATCGTCATCCAGGAGACTGTTGGTGCTTCCTATGCTGGGCTCCGACCAGCCAGTGGCGGGGTCCTTCCCCAGTGACCATTCCCCGGAGAGTCCGTTATGCTTCCCTATCTTCACTGTGGTCGGGCTGCAGTGCTGAACGCTCTCGGCGAGGCCCTTGGTGGTGGAGGCCGCGTTACTTAGCTGATTGACCGCCCTGTTGCCAACTGCTTGAGCCTTTTCGCCAGTGGCTCCTGCAGCATTTTTCCCTTTCCGGGTTGTTTTGGGGGTCTGCCTGGAATTTTTACCTTGTGGCTTATCAGTTGCTTTGTTGGTTTTGGGAGATTTTTTCCTAGTGGTTTTCTGGGAAGAGCTTTGGTTTGTACCCGCATTCTTGCTGGATGAACTTTTCCTCTTAGATTTTGACACTTTGCTATTGGTGCTAATTTGACCAGATGGCTCATTAAATGTTGACAAGCACGGACTTTTTTCGAGGAGGCTGACAGAATCTTCATCGTTGAACATATGGAACTGAAACTGATGATTATTTAAAGTAAACCCATTATCTGCCTGCTCCTCGGTCTGAAGGACCCCACAGTTCCACTTGACCTTCTCAGAATTGTTGAGCACAGCCTGGGTGCTCTCCTGAAAGCCTTTCAGGGTGCCCAGGGGTTTGGCGTCAGAGCCGGCTATCTGCGGGGAGAGGTTGGGAGTGTCTGGAGGAGACATCTCCGACAGGGAGGACTGACGGAACTTATCGGGAGTGAAGTTGGAGATGTCTAAGAGGTCTGTGGACTCCTTCAGGGGGGTTATTTCATCTATGCTTTGTTGGATCACTAGCTTGGGACTGCAGTGGGCCAAGAAGTCATCGTTAATATCATCCTCGCCGTCCTTCTCGCAAGACTTTAAACTTAAAGAACTGTAATTGCTCGAACTAACTGACAATGAACCCACTGAATCAAAACTAATGAGCCTGCCATCATCCGTGCTCAGTGTGCCTCGCTGGAAATGAAAGCGCCCCTCTCCATTAGCGAAATGACATGACTGATAAGAATCATCAGACTGCACTTGTTGGTTATCCGGCATGTAATTTTTTTGGTAGAGCAATTTGCCGCTATTCAGATTGACTTGAGCGTACGCAGCGGCCGGGAGGGCGTCCGC